GTATGTATAATGGTTATCAAAGCACAAAACTGAACAGAAGGCTAATTCTGTACTGTAAATCCACTGTTTGGAAAAAAGCGTTTATAACTAAACTTGTTTGCAAAAGCTGTAACTGTTCGTAAATTCCTGAGAATCGTACCTTTAGATATATAGATAGGTGATGGTAAGTGATCAACTATTTAGTAAACTCACAGGATATACTTTTCTCAAGAATGAAGTTCAAACTACATAATCTAGTTCGCATTTTGTAATGGCTTGTGTATGCAATTCAATAGTTAACAAACCATCTTAACTTTCATTCGCTGACATTCATTAGTTTTAACACTTAATTCAAATACCAAATAGTCTATTGTGTTGTGCTGATATTTCATTAGAAACTTTTATTATACAGATTTTATATTAGACTCAACACAATGTCGGTAACTATAGAACTTGTAAAAGCTTTGGTAACATTCTCTCACCTTGAATACTCACTCAGTGAAATTGAAAAAGGGAGTTGTAAAATTATTTTACAGATAAAATAAATTTGTTGTCTGCGGTTATGTTATGTACCATTTCACTGATTTCTTCTAACGGGAAGTAAACTGCACATTTAGTACTGATTATTGAATTTTATTTATTTGTTACAATTACATACCGGTAAACTTCTGTACATTTCCGTATACGGTGTTTTTTCATTACTCTTCTCACATCGGAACATAGTTTTCTATGAAGTTTCATATTTTCTACTTTCGTTTACAATACTATTAGTTAAAGAAACAGTATGCCGTATATTAAATATTTCAAAGGTGCGATAGTGTTGTGTCTTATTCAGAGTGAAGTAAGAACAATAAATGAATACTAACCGGAAATTTAATGACGGTCTGCATGTAACAAGGAATATGAAAAAATTTCAGCGTGTGTGCCGAAAAAATTCCAAATTAAAATGGAGCAAAACATTAAGAAGGCGAGACTTTGTAACAGTGCTTAGTAATCATGGTATTCAGAGTTATCAGTGTGTAGGTTGGGATTTATAAGACATTATTAATTTTGAAACAGTGTCAAACAAGATGAACTCAGAAAATATTTGTCTTACACCAACCAATGCTACTATTACTACTACTATTTTAAGACATGCCAAATGACCATGTCAAAAGAGACGGTATCGAACATCATACTCAGAGACAAATGACTTTAATACTGCATTTTTCTTGCTCGACGGTTTTCCATACTGAAGGTTTAGTTGTTATTCTAGGTTAAAACTATCAGAATCAACTTTAAAAAGAAACAAACTACTAAAATTATCAGTAGCATAGCAGCTACGGAAATCAGTATTCATCGTAGATTTGAAATCGGATTCAAGTAATCAAGAGGAAAAATGCTAGACAAATAAAATGTAAGTACTCAGGCGAATGAAAAAACCAATTTCAAAATGAATGTAGCTTCATTGGTAACACAGTTAAGGGCAAGGAGCAGTTGAGTTCCATATTCAAAAAAACAAGTTGCTAGTCAACCTTCTGTTCATAACAGCTAATTACTTACCTATTTGAAATTCTGTACTTACTATGTACTCTAGAAAGATAACGAAAGATAACTTCATGGTTTGTTTACTGAACTTAATAAGTTCAACACTGGCAGCCACTCAACATTAGTGATTTTTCTATGATAGATAATTATCGTACAGCCGTATAAAGTTTAATATTTCATGAAACTCACAGCATGTAGAGTACTGGTACTGCCAAAGACCATTTTTTTATTTGAAGAAATAGGTTAAAATTAAAGGAAACCTAATGATTATCACGAGTTACATAGTGGCTAATCATTCAAATATGCTTTATCATCAAACTGAATTACTGTCATTCAAAATGCACTAATTTTTCGTAACCACATTTTTAACAAGTTATGTATCATGAAAGGAAGTTTTACTAAAATGATTCAGTTATTTTAAAACGCAGTATATATATGTATATATGACAAATAGCAACACGAACAATTGCATCTATCCGAATGAATACAATCCATTTTCTTTTTTTATTGTTAGCTTTAAATGAGAATAATATATACTTAAATCCAAACTCAGTTTTCCCAGATACTGTGCAGCCTGAAAATTTAAACATCAGTTGGCTAATTAAACAGACCTCAATAAAAATTATTTCAATTTGTCCATTTTTGAACTCATTTTTTCAAATTTTCGTACCAACATCTCTCTATTAGCCAGCGATAGTGTATTTCAACACTTTACCTTCTGTCTTTATCCATGTAACTACCACAAATCCTCTGAAATATCGTTTCAGCTACTTGCAGTTTGAAGTTTGTTATTATGTTTAAGTCAATAAGTCTTAAGCAATCACCCGTTTTCCGTGTCTACTTTTAGATAGACTAGTCATCCATTCCTATCATGCATGATATTATGTTGAAGTATAGAATAGTCTAACTGTATCTATCATTACGTTCTTAGTTGTGGTAGATGAATATATTCAGGTGAACGAAAATAATAGGTGAATACCAAAATCTAGTGCTGATATAAACTGAAGAAAATTTTTCCCGTAATCATTTATATATAATTACATTTTATAAATAGTCTGACAGATTCAAATATTGTTTGAATAGATTATTTTTGTGTTATCTTTGTTTATATGATGCTTTAGTTTAGAGACTAATGATTTATTGACTAACAAATAATTCATACGTGTTATATCAAATGACAAAATGTAAAACAAAGGAAGGAACACAAATAATTATAAATATCATTAGCAGATGTGGGATAGTGGCTAGCGGTGACACCCGTTTCACCCCATTTAGGGTTTGTCATCCGAATGTAGCGGCATCTGAGAGTTGATATTCATCCTTTACTTTTCAGATCCTATCATTTGATCTATCCACTTAGCTACTGAGTCCAGATAGTCAATCACTTGTGAAATGGAGTGAAAATGAATTCATTTGTACTGGTTGTTTGAATCTTATCACGGATATTCACGACTGCAATTGATCTAACTCTATTAATATCCAGACAATCCATACAAGATGCACATATGCCAAAGAGACTGATCCCGATTGCAGTTCTAAGCCTCAATCAGAAAATTCAAACAACCAATACAAATCAAATAACTTATTTAGAATAGATAACAAATAGCCTATAAATGAATCTAACTTTAAGTGTTTTCTTTTCATGTTAAAATGCACCTTATTTGATTTTTGTCTTAAATCAACCAACCATTTTATACTGAAGATTAAACTATAGCATACTATCGCTAATTTACGTGACCTTAATGAAATCAATAGTTTGCTATTAGCGCTAAAACAGTCTTAGATGAAATTGGTTTTTGGAATTTTTTTAAAACAAGTTTACAACATGTTTGTAATATGAAACTTGTTGAACGTTTGTAAGTAACTTTTTTTTGAATAATCCATCCACCATATCAGGGATGCAATACTCATGACTGACTTAAGTGAATGGCGCCCGTGTAATATTTATAGATTACTGAAGTCAAATCTGTCTATAATCAAATGCGAACGTATTGATTTGAAGGTTAATCAAAACGACTGACCTTAATCTTCACTATAATTGAAATTGTACATTTTGGCAAGTCCCAAATTAATGTCAAAGAGTTGGCTGATGTTTTTTTTATAGATTTTAATGTCTGTTCAGCTGATATCATTTTGTAGGATAAGCCATCTTCCAGTTGTTTAACCTTCATGAAATATTTTATGCCATCCAAACGTTACTAATTCCAATTACTGAACATAACAGATTATTTACATGCAGCACAATATAACTTGATATTACCATATATGCACGCACATATGTTTAACGATGACAATTATTCGCCTAACTTTTGTGGTACAATGGGATATCAGAAGATCTACATTCATGAACATACGCAAATAATTTCTATATACGAGATGAATTACAATTAATCGAATCACAGGGAGTATTGATCTATAAACAACTACTAAAGGTTAAACTTATAACTTATATTCAAACTTCGAGTACTGCATGATTTGACAAAAGTTTAGTAGTCACGACTTCCCATAAGAACTCGGAGAACATTCCTCACGAAGCTAGTCACTAGTGAGAACAGGTAATTTGCATTACGAGGTTGTGAAGACTGTTAAGTTACACATTTTTGAAACCATAAATTGATCAATGTTAGACCACCATTAGAAATCTAGAAGCACTGGACGGCCGTTTCGTTCTGGTATGGGACTACTCATCAGCAGTGCGCATTCACGACTCCTGCATCCCGCAGGATTCGAACCCCTTCGATATTGTGCGCGAACGCCTAACCTCTGAACCACTGAACCGGTATCTAACGGTGTTAATGTTTAACTTGATCAATTCACGGAGTTGTGCAACCTCATACAGTGTTCGGTAGTTATTGTCTACACTCGAACAGGTTGAACTTCACTGGTCACGACTTCCCACAAGGAAGTATTGATCTATAAGCAACTACTAAAAGTTAAACTTATTACTCATATTCAAAATTCGAGTACTACATATTCAACATTTTAATACGACTAGATAATAGTTTAGTACACAGTTTTCTTGTTAAACTTATCTGGACAGCTTCGATATTTGGTTATCTCCTCCGATAAAGCTCAAACTAAACTGCCGAACCAAACCTTAGAGTTACTTTTATCTTCAATCGCCAATATATTTTTACAAATATAATTTTGATAAAAATACAGACAATAAATGTTCAATGTAGATCAAGTCCGATTTAATTCATGTTTGACAACTAATTTGTATTCACCACTGACAAAAAAAAACATTATTTTTATTTATACTATTAAGTGGCAAAAGAAATGAAAAGCAGACATTTTCAACCCGATCTAGGATGTTGTGACATTGGTCATATGAATTAGTCTAATTTAAGAGGAAAAACAAAAACAATGATTATTACGAATGCAATTAAGATTAAAATAAATCATAAAAAAAGAAGAATATTACGAATAAATCAAAGTGAACAACATCAAAATACGCGGCGAGAAACATAAAACAAAGCACCGATAAAACTTACAGTATGTTGAGTAATTTGCATTAATTCACGTAAAGTCATTTTTTGCGCTTTTGTTGTATTCATTTCATCATGATGATTTAACTGTGTAAGTGGGTTAGAGAGGAAAAAAAAGAATTAAGCGAAATTTTATTAAGGTTATATAATGTAATTGTAAGAATAATTTTTTATAGGATGTATAATGTTTTTTCAATGTTTTGAGTTCACCAAGCTTCTAATGTTGTTCAGAATAACATCAACAGGTTATTTCATGTAGACTTACTTATATAGGAATTAGGGTTTGTTAATGTCATTCATTGACACCACAAAAGCATCCACATGTACTTCAAATGTTCTTCATCATACTAAATACTGTTTGCTTACATAATACAAATTAGCGTTATTTATTTCATAGTGGTAACGTATTTCAGTTTCTAGTCTTATTTTTCAAAAATATATTCTAATTATAATGTGCAGATGAATAGTATGTGAATAAACACACTATTTAATGCAGTAATTTATTTTAAATGTTGTTAGAAATGAATTGCTTGTATGAAATAATAAGTGAAAATAGTGAATGAGGTCAAATAATTAATTGACTTGTAACAGTTCACAATGAAGCTTTTGGGTGAAATGATTGGAATTCATTGTCAGACAGTTGAAGATGAGAATATTTGTATTTCATATATTCTATGATGTTTGGAAGTTATCAGAACAGTTTATTTACAATCGTAAAGATAATTTGCTTGTAAGTTGATGAGGTACCTTTTTGTTCTTGAATATTAAGCAGTAAAACTTTACGAACCTATGTAACTTGTTTAATGTGACATTAGATCGAAAAATTTCAAAGGTTATGGACAGTTAAAGTGTACTTAAAAAATTATTAAAAACAATTTTCTGTCACAAAATCTTTTAGAAGGTTTAGAATTAGTTTTATTAGCTTCATGATAGACTTTCTATACCAAGAATAAAAGCTCATTCCTAGGAAAATCGGTTTATATTTGGGTCTTTCAGTGGGTTGTTCATGGATTCTCTAGTAATTGTTTATAGTTTTAGCAATATGTTTACTCAGTCAAACGACATAACACGACAGTGATCTGGTGGCCATACAAATGAAGTTGAGGAGAGATATGAGTAATTTATACAAAACAAGATTGTGATACAATGAGTTGATGCAAAACAAACAACCATATTTCTAGTCAACAGATCAAGTTGTTTGTCAACTATTTTGAAGAACCACTCCTATTGAAGCATATATGATGTTGTCCAGAAGGACAGTAAAAACTATCCCAATAAACATTGCAGCTCAGAGAACACGATTATTTCAACGAATCTAATCATTTAGTATTGTTAGGATTCAGTTCAAAGTTTAGTATGAAATAATTAGAATTTGCCTCAGAAAGTATAATTTCTTCATGTGAATTCGGCTTCACAGAAGATGATTTTTACTGGCTGATAGAATAAAAAATGTTTTTCTGATCAATATTTAACAGTTGACGCTTTCAATACAGTACGCATCTACATAGCTATTAATAAGTTTGTTGTGAATGCATGTATTCACAGTTTGATCAGGACTCAGTAGCTAAATTTTCCAGATAATACTATTTGATGATAGAGAAAAGGTCAAGGCACAAATAATCTTTAAATTAATTAGCAGACTAAAGATCCGATGAAGATTTAAGGGTACAAATAATATTGGAGTGAATTCAAGTAAATAATGCATGTTTTGATCAACACATATACCCCTCGCTTTTATTTGAATAATGAACTTGAAAGTATTGAATAAATGAATTAGTCTGAAAAATACATGGCATTAGTAAGATAAATTCAAGCTTAAAATTAACTACAATTAGTATTTTCGCATAAAATTTAAACAAACGTAAAGTGAAATATTTGCAAACGTCCGTTTAGTAAATATTATCACTTCATTAGATTTCTGAATTCCCCTTTTTGTTATGATGTTCATCAAACCTTTACTACTGCTAATTCTTAACTCCCCCTTTAGTAATTCTTTTGGAATTATATTATTTTCGAAAGAAGAAATTCTGTCTACAACTGACAGGTAATGCAAAATTATCATATTGTAATTTTCTATTGAGTAGCGGAAACTTGACGAACTATGAAAGTCATCATGCAAAAGATGCGCAAAAAAATATTCACATCCGCTGGCCAGACACAATCAGCAAAAACCTACTCCGTGAGAGAAAAAACCCGATTTCAGCAGTGGAAGAAATCAGGAAGAAGTGCTGGAAGTGGATAGGATACAAATTACGGAAATCACCCAACCGCGTCACAAGACAAGCCCTCACTTGAAATCCTCAAGACCAATCGAGAACAAGAAGACCAAGGAACATACTGCACCGAGAACTAGAAGGAAATATCAAGGGAATGAACAACTATGGGATAGAAATTGAAAGGAAGGCAGGAGACAGAGAAGGTTAGAGAATGTTGGTCGAACACCTATGCTCCATTAAGGGCTATAGGCTTAAGTAAGTAAGTAAGTTAGTAAGTAAGTAAGTGAGTAATTGAGTAAGTGAGTGAGTAAGTAAGTCTTATATGACATATTTGTCTATTATACAAAAAAATCATTTATACTGAATTAAATAAATTATTTATCATAAATAAAAAAAACTAGTTCATTTACAATTATTAATAATCATAGTAATATTTGTTCTGCTTTAAGTTGTTTTGTTATTTCTAAACACTGTTGTTCCAAATGAGTAAATGATTATCATTTTATAAAATGTTTCTGTTGTAACAGTTTGATTCACGATATTTATCTATTGTAGGTCATCATTGTTTTGCCTGGTTGGACATATGTATTTAATGATTAAATAAAGTTGAACTTGTTTGATATTAAATATGATAAATTATTTATAAATGAGTTTATTCATTGAAAAATTTATCATCAATAATTAACAATGTAGGAATAATTTGATTTATTCATGAATTAGATTTTTCATCAGTAAATAATTAAAAAAAATTACTAAACATAGTTTGTCAGTTATGGAGTAGATTTTTTTTCGCAAAAAACCGATTATTAGAAAAATAATGTGTTATTTTCAAATACAAAATAACTGTTACTCTTTTCTATTCCGCGGTAAAAAAATTCATTTCGGTAATAAAAAGTGAAAAAATTAGTTAAATAATGTTATACAATCAGTAAGCATTAAGTAAAGAATTTTTAAAAACTATGAAACATCCACTATAGTTCAAATAACCGTTGAAATGCAGTTTAACTGTTTAGAAAGATTCAGAACTGTCTACATCTATTGTATACTTAATAGAGATCACAAGCCAGGGTGAAAAAGAAACTTTAATCCTATGGTTAGTAGCGTAACCAAAGATAACAGCGATAATGATAAACTGCGGTTAATCCTAGAGACGTATATAAGAAAACACTTAACCATCCTGATGTCCAACCTGGACGTGTAGGCCAGAATGAACAATACTGGGTACGTAAGCATCATGATGAAGCAAACGATAATAGTGAGAACGCGAAATCTGCCTTTTTTAACAACATCGTGAAGAAATGGATAAAGTCATGAGAAGAGTGAACACAAACTGGAAAGAACTAGAAAGGGAAGTCCAGGATAGAGTTGGTTGGAGAAAACTGGTCGGCGGCCCATGCTCCATTGGAGGTAATAGGCGTAAGTAAGTGACTGAAATGAAAATCTAATCCTTTCTTTCAGTTTGTACAAAACACTTTATTATAAGTAAGTGTTTCCTATTTAAGTCAATGAAAAAATACACTTCGTTTTATTAGCAATTTTTGCATAGATTTCTACTCTCTACATAACTTGACGTAAAATGTTTTATAAGTGAACAAAATCAAAATTCAAAACAAAGAAAGCGAAAAAATTCATTTAAAGAAAATGTAATAACTTTTTAAAGGTTAAATTTCTAATTTTACCGAACTAGAACATATTACTACTTTGTTTACATAAACTGTGTTACTATTAGTTACAGGACAATTTTATGCATTAAACATTTCTTTTAGTTTACCCTTCGAACAAACGTTTTTCGAATGAATTCAAGACGGTTGAATGAGCAGCATCGATCATGATTGTTGTTTGAGTGAAAATTTAAAAATAATTTGTTTGCCTACATACTATGATGCTGAAAAGGTCACTGGATGAAATTAATATAACTAAAACAGAGAGATTTTTGAAGATTGCAGATTTTTCATTGTTTATGTCATGAGACGACTTTAACTAAAATATTATTAGAAACACTCATGGGACATTTTGGCCTCAGTAGTGCTCATCTACGACGCTGCGTCCAGGAGTCGAACCTTGGACCTGCACATCAATAAAACTCAGTCAAGTTACGAGTAGGAAAAACATACGTATCTTTGAAATCCTTTGTTCCAGTTCACTATTTCTTGGTTTGATTCGTCAACCTTTGATTGAAAAAAAATTGTTTGTCACTTGCAGATTGATCTAAACTTCTTGCTTCTAGAAATTCTTCAACATCCTTGTTTTTTCAATAATTCAGCATTTCAATATCCTTCTATCTGTACGCACTGATATATGTGTCATCATGTCATGTCTTTAAACAACTGATTTACGTTTTTGTGTCCCCAACCGATCATATGTGATTAAATTCAATCACAGAACTTTTGTGCAGATTTTTCGAATTTCATAAGATCCATTATTGAAGACGTGATCTTTAAAGCTCAACTATATTGTATGTGAGGCCTGTGGCTTAATAAATTTATTGAAAACCATATTGTAAACCATAGTATGTTGACTCAATGGTCTAGAGGTTTAACTCTGACAACAAATTCTGGAAGCTTTAGATTTTATTCCAAGCAAATTCATGCATACTATTGATCATTCTTATACAAGAACGAAACATCCGTTTAACTCATCATATTTGTCAATGATTATTTGAATAAAGTAATTCTGTGATTTAAAATACCAAACCAATTTACTATAATCAAATGATTTAAATTTTAAAATGATTTATTCATATTATTTGTTTAATATCAAATCTCTGTTTTGAAGTTACGCAGATCACTGTTCTAACACACTGAAATCACCAATCAATCATTGTTAGACCGCCTAGAAGACTATCTGAAAGCACAGACGTGCCTGGCAGAGTACAATTGAAGACAAATGGGTGAGATTGCGTGAGATCCCTAGGTTGATCGGAGTTAGACATTAACACTGTGGGGTGACAGCTCAGTGGTCCGGAGGTTAGTCGTTCGTGAGCAAGATCGAAGGTCCTCTGTACGAACCCAATGAGTAACAGGAGTCGTGGATGTGCACTGTTGTTGAGTCCCACACCAGTGCTTCCAGGTTTTTCATGACGGTTTAACAATGAATGATTCATGATTTCAATGTGTAAATCACTTGTAACAGAATGCCTCCTTTTAAAAAATTTAAATGTTTGAAAGTAACTGTGTACATCAGTTCATTTAAATTTAAATGCTTTAAGTTACTTTAATGACTTTTTTTCCTATTTTAAAATAATACCAATATCATAGTTAAACGCTGATCGGATTTTTTGTTAAAAAGTTTTTCATTTCTAATAAAAATTGTACTTTTTGATCAATAAAATCTACATCCCTCAACTAGTTAGTTATTTATTTGTTATATCAATCATGTTTTTTTGTTTCATTCAAAACAATTTGATTGTTTGATTTATTTTTTTTTTATAATGATTGATATAGTTGGAAATTAAATAGATCTCATTATACAAAGATTTGTTTTTCTTTTCAAGTTGAATATTGAATTTGAATTAGAAAGTAATGAACAAAAACAAAATTAATTTCCATGATGGTATATGTGTATGAGGAGGCTTCAAAAAATTAAAAGAATTTCATATATGGAAATTCACGATGAAATTCATTAGGCGGATTATTTTCAATTTGTTGGTAAAAAAGAAAATATAATTTGTCGTTACAAATCAATGTTATTTATTTGTTAATGGTAAGTAGTCAGTAGAATTGAAATTTTATGGAAAAGGGTTTGTATTGTCTGACTGATTTTAGTATTACAACAGAAAATTGTCGTTAACTTGGTTTAGTAAATATCTCCATTTGACTTAATTGTATATCTTTAACTGGATAAAAAGTACGGAGATTACTGCAATAAACTATTAATGTTAAGTTGATATCAGTGATCTGTGTTCTTACTTTTTAAGATTACGAAACTTTGGTGGCTAACTGTAATTCCAACTTTAAATGGGCAACAAGCAAAAACGAATGTCAGTAATCAGGATAAAAGTATTCAGTAGTGAATTTATTTGGTCATATTGTAGTAATAAAGTGACAGTAATTATTAGTTTACACAGAAACAATAGAGCTGACAAGCACGATACCGATGGACATTGTATTTCAAAAGACTAATATTCAGAAATGCTAACTGTTATGAAATACATCAAATTACAAAGAGGTATAATAATTAAATATATATGTACTATAATCAGATTCCCGTGGATGAAGAAATCAAGACGAAGCGGTGGCAGTGGATAGAACACACATTGCGGAAAGCACCAAACTGCGTCACAAGACAAGCCATCACTTGGAATTCGCAAGGTCAAAGGAAAAGAGGAAGGACAAGGAACACATTACGCCGAGAAACGGAGACAGATATGAGAAGTTTGAACAGAAATTGGACAGGACTGGAAAGGTAGGGGCAGGACAGAATGAGTTGGAAAATACTGGTCAGTGGCCTATGCTCCGTTGGGGGGTAACAGGCGTAAGTATGTATGTAGGTCACTGCAATGAGACATTGTATGTACATTCAGTCATTAGGCTTTTTGTATATATATATATATATATATATATATATATATATATATATATATATATATATACATGAGAAGCCTGGTCGTTCTTATCTGAAATATTTTTAGCAACAATCACTTACATTTTTCTAAAAAAGCATCTCGTTAATTAATTTTCTATTCATGCTGAAGAAACACTAATCTTATCGATTTACTTTTCTTAATTTTGCAGCTCAATTCAAAGTTAGCTCCTACGCAACATCACAATTATATAAAAATAATATTCATCAATCACAAATTATAGTAAATAATTTAACTTTGAATGCAAGCTAAAATGCTGAACATAATTTTACAAATATACTATAAAAAAACAGAAAAAAATCCCTTCAACTACACATACCTTTTGAAGTTTATACAAAACAGGTAAAACTCCGGACAATTTTAAGGATTTAGACGGTCCATCTGAAGCATCTCTATCCGCAATATCTGAATACCTTGCTTTCCATGCTAATTGACCAAGATGGTGAATGTATTGATGTAGTTCGTGAACACGATTCCATAGAAACGGTATCGAAGAAGAGGATGTTAACGGTGAGGATGATGCTGAATAATCCAACGATGGTGTTTTAAATAATTCGGATGTTGACGAGGCGGTAAAAGGTTTCGATTTATCTGGTAGATAATTTTCCAACTCTTCATAAGTAGGTAACTCTGGTTGTTCATAATTATCTAACTAATAATAATAAGGATAATAATAATAATAATAGTAAAAATGTACGATAAACAGAAGCATGGAAAAATGTTTTAGTAAAAATATCAAGAAAATCATTTGTTGACTTTATTTAGTTCACAGTGACGGTGTAAACAATCATTTCAATGTATACTGAAGTGATTTTTAATTCAAATTGAATCTAATTATCGAAACAGATGTTGAAAACTTAGCAATAATGGATTACTGATTTCGTGACTTTCAGAAATTAAGTACAGAGCGTACAAAGAGCATATCATAAGCAAAAAACGACATTAAGTGAATTATTTTTCAAACTATTGACAGGATAAACTGCTTAATAATTCCATTTATAATTGTAGATAGAGATACTTTCGTGATAATAATGTCAGTTACATTGCGTGACATCTATAGCTTACAATGTATTTAAATTCAAATTTGTTGAAAGTAAAATGTGATGAGCATAAAGAACCACACCTGTAGATCTGAAACCTTTCATTGTTAATTACACTTTTCAACATCGAAATGTGTTTGTTTTAATATTAGGAGTTTGCAGTACAACTTAATTAAGTCAAGAGTTTCCAGCTAATTTTGTTACTTGTGTTATATGCACAAGAATAGTTCAACTTGTTGGGTAGTGAAGGAATTGCATAACTTCCTACCATGTAACACCGACTAATAAATATTCGCACCTATCAACCCATAGAATATATCACTTATTTATATATGGAAGACTGAAGGAAATTAAAAGAGTATGATAAATTCATTCTTCCAATTAGAGTTATGGAGATTAGTGTTTTTACACATTTGAAATCATCAGTCAGTCATTGTTAGACCATCATTAGAAACCTGGATGCAGAAGTCATGGATGCGCGCTGCAGATGAGTCCCATACCAGGACGAAATGACCGTCAAGTGCTTCCAGGTTCCTAATGGTACCCTAACAATGATTGATTGACGATTTCAAATGTGTAAAAATTCATTCTTATTTGTTTGTAGTAATTGTCAAGTATTTTGCTCATAGAATATTAAAAAAATTATTCTTTAATAAATCAAATCTCGACCGGTTGTATTATTTTGAGCTTATTCATCAGTTTTCGTTTGATAGAGTGACGGAGAGATCAAAGAAAAGAGAGAGAACAAATTCATTATGAATTTTAAGAAACAAAGTAAAGACTATAAATGTTAACTTTTTCATTTACTATTTCTAAAATAAATTACATTTTATTAGTTTACATAAACTTGTCTATACCTTAAATTTATGTTAAGTGAAAGAACATTTCAAAAAGAGTAACGAGTATTAGTGTTGGTTGCAGTGTACAGTTTATTACATAACATCTTAAAGTGATCGATAAAGCCAACTTCTATTCAAATCAGGAAGCATTCAAAGTTATAAGCAAGCTATTTTGTAAATAATTACCAACCAAACAACAAAAACACCTACCACTGGTATAAGTGAATCCATTAAACCAGGCGTATGAGAACGTTCAATCCATGCAGAAAAGAATAACGGTACACGTAAATTCAATTGCACATTAATTAGAACAGTGTCTGTGTTGAAGGCAAATAAAATGAACAGGCAAAAAGAAAAGTCATCAATATTTATAATTGATGCATAGAAAAGAATATTTTATTGTTTAGATTAATAACTAATTACGTCAAATAAATGAATAAATAAATAGATAATAATCACCATAATTAGAAAAAATAATTAATTACGATAATGTTTAAGACTATCTATTATTACATTATCACAGTAGTCTGATGACGTATTTTCCTAAGAATATGTATTTTTAAGGTGTGCAATAACTCAACTATAAAATAACTAACAAGTACTTAAATTAATCGGCAAGACTGGTAATTGAGTTGAATGATTTTGACGTTGTTAAATTCTCTCAGCTCGATAGTTTAATTGTAAAGCTTACATTGTTGTTTTTTAGAGTAGATTTAAAATGTCATGATTACAGTTGATGTTAAATAGCAGTGAGCAAAATCAATTATTAATCTAATTAATTTACCAAATTAGGGTTTTGTGTATTGTTTCCAAAACATACATTTTAAATGAGGCTTATTTCAATCAAAGTATTTTAATGTTCATTCCATGCTACGACGCAAATAGTTATATGTCAATTGTTTTGACGAATGAGTAACCGCTTCTTCAAGCAACTTAATTGAGCCATTTATTATTGATAAGCATTTTTAAGGATCTAATCCATCAAAGAAAAAAGAACAATCGATTTTCTACCTACCATTATCATACATTAGTGACTCTGAAACATACAAACTAGCACTCAGAATATACAAATGATTTCAAGGTTTATTTAAAATAATGTAATCATTTTAGATCCAAATACGGTATTATATCACCAGTAACATCTGGAAGGTTTGTTGTTCCATAGCAATTTGCCTGAATTAACCTTGTTGCTTCTATAAAAGCGAGGAACTATGCCCTTATATTATTCATATCAATATCAAGGGAAGTATGTAAAATAAATTTTCCTATAACTAAAAGGGTCATTTATACAGATGAATACATCAAAATGTTGAAGAATCTTCTGATCAGATAAACTATAACTAATCGATTTTTCGGAAACCTGATTCAAGAAAACGAGGATTCAGAACAACAGGAGGCCGCTGAGATGCACCGAATCAATAAAATAGATAAACAAATAGAATTATCACTATGTCAAACTAACTAAACATTCGTATTCAGTTTGTCCTGTTAAGTACTGCAGGTAAATTTTTCCGTGATGTCACTATTTCCACGACGTATCATAAAACACTCTAAAAACTTTCCAGATTATTCATGGAGTCGTTAAACACTTTTTATTCTTATATATAGCCGAAATTGTCCTGTGTAACAACGACTGATCATATAACAGCTATACGGAACAAGCAAATGGATTCTTCTTCATCTGATTGCTTAATCCAGTTAAAATTCATGTCTTTTTGATTTAGATATAACAGCAAAAGTGAATGATATTTGAAATAAAGGAAGGAGAGAGGCAGAGAAAAGTTAATAACCCCAAAATGTTGATCATAAATTAATCATATGTACAAATGAATGGAATTAAAACAAATTTTTTTTTGTTATCTGTAATGATATGTGATTTATAAACACAATGGAAATGTTTACAACTATGAGATTCCACATAGCTGTTTCACTTTAGTTTTAAACTCCGCAGCGGTGAACATGTAATCCGCCTGTGATCGAGCTTATGACCCTCTTGAATCACTGGTATGAAATTCAATCATCGTCCGTTTGAAATTCAATCTATTTGTTTTACGCAGAACAATAATAAATCAGTATTACTTCAGTGCTAATCAGCAGAGGGTAGATATTGTCATTTAACTAGATATGTTCAAAAATCAACAAATTTTTACGATTCAGTTTTGTAATACAATATATATGTGTATATATATGCTTGATTTGATGTATAGTTGATAGGATTAACGCTTACGCAGGTGTATACAAACAAAACATTCACATGTGACAATAGATGCTCAATTAAATCTTAAAACAAACAAAATGTAATTAAGGAAATTCAAAACAACAACATATATATAACACCTATAAAATGATAAATAATAATAATTTTTAATTGAATTGAATATTGAAACTAAATTATTATCGTTCTTCCCCCATTATTCTTCTCTAGTATATGTTTTGTTCATTTGTTTACTAAATACTCTTTGCTCACCTTTGTTTATGACTATGAGTTTATTTCAAAGTAAATAATTTAAAAGAAGTTAGATAATGGCAACTACTGTGACACGAAAGATTTAGGTCAACTATATTTAACATACGTATTGATTCAAGGTGATTTTGTTTGATGTGCATTGTATTGAAACAACAACAGTTTGTAGTAATCGTGTAAAAGGATCAGCAGAGACAGAATCATTTTATAGAATATATAAATTTGTATGTATAAGTGAAAATAAATGTATCCCGTGTTGTTGATTTTTGCGCACTTTCACATCATTCAGTAATTAATAAAATAAAAAACAGTTTTGAAGAATAAGACGTTATGTTGAGGATTTATAGGAAGAAAATGAAAAAAGAAGTAGATCTGCATGGCTAACATTATTTTTCACAATCTCATTTGAATTAATCAGTTATAGATTACAGACATATCTAAAGATCTGAGTTTATATACATACTACAGTAACTGCTAAGTTTTTCAAGCATTAAGGATTGGAAATAATGTCATATATTAGACAGTTATTTCTTTTAACAAAATTTTTTAAAAATTTAATTACCTAGATAATTAATATGAACCAGGTGCATTGCATATGTGCCTAAATACCATATTCAGAATTAGTTTACAATAATAGAATGAAATCCGGTGACAGCTAGTTACAAAAGAGATCAAGTTATCAAGGTTTTCTGTTTATGTATGTTAGTTTTTTTCTCTAAAGGATAACCTTACTGACATTTTCACAAACTCCACAATAACATGTTCTAGTACCTGATAGGTTTTCGCTGCCTATAGTTTGTTAACTCCATTTTATAGCCTAAGGTCATGAAAATGGGGATGTTCCATTTTAATTTTTGGCTTCTACAGAAAATATAAAATAGCCTGAACGTTCTATCTTCTCCATTCGTGCATGGATTATTAACAGTGAAGTGTTATTGTACGATAGACATTCGGTTTATTTGAATTCCTGTTCGTAGAGTCATATTAGGCGGAACCTCAATTGCTCGCTAATAGAATTTATCGTAGACCAGCTAGGAATCTCGATAGTTTAATTGTTCCTGTTGATATATAACAATGTATGATAGAAATGAGTTTTGTCTATACATAACTAACTAATGTTCACTCATTATTAAATTATGCTGCAATAAAAATTTTCATTTTTCCATTTAGTAAAAAAGAACAAATTAAAAAATTGGGGTTTTTAATATACTGAAATCTTCTGAGCAAACTTTTGCGTTAAAGGTTCTCGACGAGTGTGTAAAGCACAGTGCAAGGTTCAGCGAAGCGAAGGCGAATGTGAATTTTATAAACCAATGCATAAAAAACTAACCTAAATCCAAAATTACACTGGAAGCCTTTAAGTTGATCTTGAGTTCGACCTAATAGAAAGACTCAAGCTTCATGCACCAAACAAAATGGAATATTTACAGTAATATACTAAAGAAATGTTCAAAAATATCAACAAAATAGATTGTGATAAGGAAGAGCTCCCTGATAACCTATTGTACGATGTAAAGGTGGTGGTTGATGCAAGATAAGAAATGAAAACCATAAAGCTGAAGAGAAATCTAGACCCCTAGATCCTAGAAATGAAATTTCCATTTAGCTCAAGTCAGTTTGTATACGATTTTTACAGTGTTAGTCTTAATGCGGCAGAGTTAGAAGCGTCATCACTGAGTCATAAAAATTTGTAACTTTAGGAAAATGGTTAATGAAATGGACATTGAAATTTAATTTACAAACCTTTGTACCCAAACAACAAAGCAAGTAATCCCACTAAAAGATAATTTTTAAAGATTTAAAACCACACAAGTGGACTACTGTTTTGGATACTTAGATAGTAAACATAATTCGGAAGGGCTTTTGACAAAAGAACACATGAACTTAAAAATCATCAACAACCTGTTTATGATGAAATCAGATAAAAGTTATGATCTAGTGCTCATTGATACAAAGAACTATTTAAACAAGATGGAAGATATGTTAACTGATGAGTAAAGTTCAAAAACTGGTAACGAAGAGTGATGTAATAGACAATTGCGAAACAAGCAACAGAATCATTGAAACAGATTAAACAGCAAAGTTTTTTATTTCGAATAAGTTGTTGTTGAGACACACCTACGGTAAGACAATATACTCATTTCTATAGTGCGGTGTCTATCAGATATGAAAGAAGCTTTGTAAGAATTGTGACTCATGGTGCCAGAATGATACGTTTGGATGACATCATCAAAAATGAATTGAGTAATATTCTCAACCTACTTTGTACGGATGGACATCCAATGAGATTCATTAACAAACATATGAACGAGACGAAAAGAAGACTAACGTTCCAAAGAAAGTACTATTTCTAAACGATTATACTGGGGATATTATGACCCAAGAAAGTCAGTACATAAAACTGTCACTGTGATTTTCTACAATCATCCAAACGTAAAAACCATCAATATCGCCACATGCATGTGTAACTGTCAATTCATATGTTTCCGTGGAGCTAGTTATATAGGGCGTACAAGTCTATCGTAGTATAAGTGAACATCATCCATCCTGGCTAAGCAAAGAGTGACTGAGATTTATATTCTCGCAGACTTGGTCGATACAGGACATTAAATTGAGCTGAATAAAGCTTTTACTGTTAATCACCATATTCTATCAAATTTACCACATGGTTTATGCGTTCATCTCTTATATATATTGCTGAATCTAATGAAATTCCTGTTTATGAACACAACCTTTACGTTCAAAAGAAATTTGTACAACAATCATCTGTTGTATTGATTATTTCAATCATCCCATTGACATTTAGGACAGCAGTCTGTTGCGTATAGGGGCATTTTTTGTTAATTTTTATAT